GGTCCACTTCCTTGTGGCTGAACTGAAGGGCATACAGTTAGAGGAAAGTTTGCGGTACCGTTGCACACATCGCTCAAAGAGTGCTTCGTCACCTGTAGCACTTTCGCCAGGGGCGAGCACTACAGCTATCGTCTGCATCGCGGGTACACGAGAGCAACCTCGTTGAGCACGCAGACGAGAGCGATAAGCCTCCAACGGAAATTCTTGTGAGACCAAGAAACGAGCTCGAAGAGCTTTCCGTTCGGCAAGCTCATCTTCCGTAAAAGACCGGGCGCCCGATGAAGTGGAGGCGTAACGATCGAGTTACCGCAACCTTCGCTTCCACAGCGGGATCCACCGGGCGGAAGCCATATTCCACACGAGGGTGAATGACCGACCGTGATCGGGCGCGCATCAGAGCAGCCTTACGGGCAGCTTCCAGCTGCCGCTTCTGTGCCTCATCGAGGTCATTGGTGATTACACCACGTTCCTCAGGTAACGAGAAGCCAGGAAACGGACATGGGTTCTGCAAGGCGCGAGCAGGGCTCGTCTCACACCGCTGGTGCTGCTCGCCTTCCTCGTCATTCCATCCGGGAAAAGGAGTGTCAGACTCGTAGTCGACCGCCTCCACATCCCCAACGAGGTCACTCATCACCGTTAGCGTGCGCGGAACGCGACGCTCGGGCTCATAGAGCCTAGGGGATTACATCCCTCCATGCCGCGGAGACAAGGTCCGAAGTTACACCGCGTGCAGGAGACGAAGAAGGGCTCTGACCGCGGGCGCTCTCGAAATCAGCGAGGCTGGGTGTAACGGGGTTTCACATACCCTGGTAATAGGTGTGTGTGTCACACCAGACGGGCATGATGTGACCACACCAAAACAAAAATACGGTACGGGGCTGGATAGCCAGTAGTTATACATGAATTTTGATTTTACTATGCATATTTAGGAAAATCTATGAGCAGAACGATCATAAACCGAAATTTAATAAGCCTTTGGTTAAGGCTTTAATTACTTCTGGAGTAAGCGGATTGCGATCCGCTAAACTCGTACTTATTCTGAGGATAGAGCGAGAGGTCGGTGACCTAACTTACGCTTCCTTAATGCGCAAAGCTACGGCAGCCCCGCTGCACTGGGTGTCTTTCGTGTCCTAGTAACATAGCTCATTGAGCAGAGAATGCTTGCAGAAGGGCCTGAGTATGTAGAGGTGTCTCAGACACGCGAGCCTCGTACGAGGCGACAGTTAAATGTGAATTGTGGGTGCTCACAATTTTAGTTGGGGAGAGTGTAACGGAGTTACGTGTACCCTGATATGAAGAGATGGGTCACACAAGATGGTGTGACTACACCATAACAAGAAGTCACTACGTGGCTGGACTGCCAGTAGTCATGCATTTTGATAAGGTCTTACTATCTAATTAGAAAAATGTATAGAGTTAGATATAGGCGGCTTTGCCGCAAATGAAACATAGAAATACAGTTTACAGTTTAGACGGAAGAGTTTATTTGTTTGGTTTAAGGTTGTGGTTGCTCTTTTAGTAAGCGGATTGCAATCCGCTACACTCGTACTGGTTCTAGTATAAAACGAAGGTCACCGACCTAGCTTAGCTTCCTCTAAGCGAAAGAGCTATACCGCCCCGCTGCATAGATCGTTGTTGTTTCCGGCGCATATTGTCTAAGCATTGCGGTGTTGTTTGAGCAGCAGTCCCAGATCAAGAACAAGAAAGTAAACCCCGTATACACGAAAGAGCTCAGTTCGCATGTCGACAAAGAGAAGATGCTTATACCCGCCAGAGTGTGAGCCCGTTTGTAGATTGTCTCCATGCGGTAGCGAAAGGCACGTGTCAGGTCGTCACGATCAAGCTACAGAGTCGCGATGGTATCAATGACAATGTCAAGGCATGGTGCACTCGCATAAAAGCAGGCGTAGACAGACGAAGGCGCGTTTTTGCCGCCATCAAATAACCAGTAGCTGCTTTCAATGGCTTGAGTCAGACGTGCGAGGCAACAATTCATCAGAATTCGCCTCGAGGGTCTCGTTGCACAGTGCCTCGGACATCGATACGTTGATTGACTCGTCGTCAAAGTTGATGATGTGTGGCATCGATTTTAACGCTTTTTTGTAAGTAATTGCAATGAAAAGATAGACCAGCGCGAAGGAGTCTATAAGATGAAGGCGTGCAGCTTGCCGGCCTTATCGATGCAGACCTTGTCGAATTTTGCGGTGAGCAGTTGGGCACTGTTGATAGACACTTGAAGGTGAAGATATGCTTGCTCAGAATCAACTCCGGCGCGGGAAATCTTATTCAATCAGTAGCCAGAGTGTTGAGGCAGCGGGGGCCGTAGCTGTAAGGGAATACGATTTTGCCCAAACTGACCACATTTGTGCGCAGATCACGCGTGACGTTGGGCAAATCCGGACGAAGAGTGGACGGCAGAGAGAGACTGTCAGTTCTAACATTCACGAGCACTCTGGTGGCAGAACATGCAGGCGGGCAGAAGATTGCGTTCATCTTACCACTGACCAGGACGAGCTTGGCGAATACGGCATTTGCGGTCCTGTGATGAATATCCATTTAGACGTGCGGCACGAAATACGCTTGCGAACCACAAGTCATTACATGTAGTTGTTTGCTTGTTCTCGTCGTAACCTTGTCCGTCGTCATACAGACGACCTTGATACGCGCGATATGCTGGCGCACTTTGATCCGGAACGCCTCGTACGCATCGACGAGGGGCTCGCACCGATTCTGTCGGGCGCGAATGACAGGCGCAGACACTTGATAAATAGTTCGACGAAAAGTGGCATGCGGTGCATGGCGCGAGCAAAGCGACGCTTGACTTGATTCTAATCCTTGGACATAGTAATGATCTAATTGGACCCAAAAATGCATTGAATTTTAAATGAAAACTTTAAACAAATTGGCATTATTCCTAAATAAAGTAAGCACGATTATTATTAAACGAACTTCAGTCTGGAAGTGCCTCTTGCGTTCGCTGAAATAGAAATTCTTGCTTTACGAATAAATGAATGAACCCTATACCAACAAGCTACATCCTATGGCATGTCATATGGCGTCTATTCAAATTGAAATGTTCAGTTACAATGGCTACAACTTGCTGGAAAAACTGTGTTGACGCATAATACTATCGTAACCATTATCTGATTTCCTATCTTTTTTCACTGTGCTCACGGAGCGACGACGCACGTGACGTAATTCGCAAGTAGTAGCAAGAGAAACGAGGGAACACAAGTCAAATTGCTTTTCACCCTTAAGATGGAGGAGATCATCGTGGAATCGACGGTGCCTCAAACCGTGACCGATAAGGCAACGGAGAAGCAGGGGACACCGGAGCCGCAACTTGACGCAGTTTCTGGGGGTCAAACAGACGACACAAGTAAAAGCAAAAAGAAAAAGAAAAAGAAGAAGAAGATCCGTCAAATAATTGTAGAGTCGGAAGGGAACGATTTACAGCGAGATAAGCTGAAGTCTGGGGTGGATGAAGGAACGAATTTGGAGAAGGGTAGTAAGGAGATTTTAGGGACGCTGGAGACCGATGTTGTACAGGAAGCCGTAGTGTTCGAGACTATTGCAGCAAGTTTTATGGAGGAAAGATCTACAGTAGAGAGTACCGTGTCGGAAGATTTAGTTGAGAAAGAAGTTGTGAAGCAACATGACGAGGTTTTGAACCACCAGCACGGGACTACAGTGCCTAGTGAAGATGGCACCTCTTTGAACCTGGAGCGAACGTCATCTCTTGATGCGCTGAAGGCCACAGGGACGAAGGCAGTAGGATCGTTGTTTTCGAGATTCAAGGTGGGATTGAAAAAGCCGCTACCAAGTCAAATGGAATCTCCAGTTAACGCTACAGCCAAGAAGAATGAAGTGATCGTGGCAAAAAATCAAGACAACTCCTCCGTGTGCAAAAACAAGGAATTGACTCGACAAAACCATCATATTATGAATATGGGTGTCGAAAAGGAAGCAACACAAATTCTAACTGCTGCTCAACAACAAGGTATGTCAAATCCAATCTCCGGTGCAACGACTGAAGCTCCGTTAGAAGCTGCTAAGGAGCAAGTTAAAGCATTTGAGAGCGTGAGGGAAGATAATACGATTGTTCAGGAAGTAAATGCGGGAATGATCGATGACGTGATTCAGGAAGCTGGCTGTGTAATTTCTGCAGATGTTGTGAACCACGATATTGTGGCTGCAACGCATAGTACGTTGAGTACATCTGTAACTTCAATCAAGCATACGACAAACAAGGTCGACCATGATGAAAAACTTCAAGAGATTTCAAATCTTACGGATCACTTTAGCGAGGCTGATGTGATAATTTCTGAGCCAGCGAGTGACACGACTGTCACATCGTCTGTCTATGCGGGATCTTCGGCTGCTAGCACCGAAAACGAGGCTGTTACGACGACTGATAGTGCTCAAAATAAAGTAATTTCGCTGACTGGGAGCGTTGAAGACGATGGGATCTTGGCGATTGAAAACGCTACGGACAAAAGCTCACAAGACTCAACTACCAAGGCTCATAATGAGGCTGTTTCGTCAATTGAGTGCTCTCAAAGTAAGACGTTACAAACAATTGAAAGAACACAAAACAAAGCTTTTTCTCCGACTGAAAATTTGGAAAACGAGACTGTTAAGTTGCAAGGTGAGGCTGTATCTATGACTGACAGTGCTCAAAACGAGACTATTTTGTCGATTGAAAGGACTCAGAACGGAGCTGTTTCGCCGAATGCAAGTGCTCATGATGAGGGTGCCTTTTCAACGGAAAGGGCTCAGAACGAGATTAATCTTATGACTGAAAGGACCCAAAAAGGGGCTATATTGTCGACTGAGAGCAACCAAGCTGGAAGTGCTACAATGACTGAAAGTGCCGAAGGTGGGAATGTTTGGTCGACTGAAAGTGCCCACAAAGAGCCTTGTTTGTCGGCTGAAATGACTCAAACTGAGATAGGGGACTTGACTGAGAGTAACCGAGATGGGACTTTTCCAGCGGCCGAAATTGCCCAAAACGCTGTGTTTTTGTCGACACAAAGCACTCGAAACGAAGCTGTCCTGTCGATTGAAAGTTCTCGAGCCGATGTAGTTCCCTCTACTGCAAGTGACCAAGAAGAGGCTTTTTCTTTGGCAAAAAGTGCTCAAAATGAAAATCTTTTGGCGATTGAAAGTGCTCGGAGCGAAGCTCAGTCGTCAACTCATAGTGCTCATGACGAAAACATTTCGATGAAATCAAGCGATTTGCTGTCAATCACAGTCACTTCACCGACCAAAGATCTTTCCGCTAAAACCGCATCACCTGTCAAGCTGGAGAAGTTATCACCTGTCAAGAGTATAGCCTGTCGCTTTGAAGGCAAACAAGAACAGTCGCTTGACAGTCTCAAGTTCCGTACAGTGCGTGAATTTTTTCCCGCGGAGCGAAGCATTCGTGTTGGAGCAGAAAAAGAAAAATTTGAAGCTCAGGCACAACAGCAGCAATTGAAGGCAAAAGCAGATGAAGTGGCTAAGGCTAAGTATAATACTAGTATCAAGTCTTTTGACGAAATCAGCGAATCAGAATCAGTCACTGGCACGGTGCCCTCTACCAGTGCTTTCCAAACGCCCGATGCTGCTTCGACAAGGAAGGCTTGTAGCTTTGACGAAGTTTCAATCTCTTCTCAGTCGTCTAGCAAGTTCAGTGACGAAGCATTAACTCCGGTCAAAAGCATTGCTAGTAGGTTTGAAGGCAAACGCGAGCAGTCGCTGGATAGTTTAAAGTTCCGTACTGTTCGTGAATTTTTTCCCACTGAAGAGGAGCGAAGTGTTCGTGTTGGTGCTGAAAAGGCCAAATATGAAGCTCTTACGATACAGCAGAAGAAAGCATCGAAAATTGGTCAGCTTAAAGTGAAGCACGAGTCGCTCGTCAATGAACAGAGAAGTAGCGTTAAGAGTTTGGCAAGTGCCGATACGATGCCCAATAAGTCTTTGTCGACGCTTGATGAGTCTCTAGCGACGAAAGCGTCAAGTGTTTCTTCTGATTCGGAGGTTAGAAGACGAGAAAAAGTTAAGGTGATGAGTAAGACGATTACAACCGAGGTAGAAGCTGATAAAAGTGCGACGAAAGACATTGAAGCAGTTGTCCCGACGAAGGAAGAAATAGGTGGGGGCCTTACTGCACAAAGCAATAATGCTGCTGCAGGTAGCAGTATACGACGTGAAGACAACGATGTTAGATATCACAACGAAGTCAACTGTGGTGACAGTTCGAAAGAAGATGATTCCATGTGCATTGGTGAAAATGAGGAGAGTAGAAGAGAGCTGAATCAACAATGTAGCTTTGCAGACGGTGGTATCTCCAACAACCCCGTAAGCAACGAACAAATCAGCACCGGAGTCGAGGTCGGTGAGAAGCCTATGATAAGTACACCCAAAGCGGGAATACTAAACGATCAGGTAGTACTTGAGCATTCTGTTAACTTCTTCACCACTAAAACAGAGATAGCTGCTAATCCCAGCGAAGCGATAAATCATACGGACAATGGGCAGGTCAACAAAGTCCGAGAAGACATTCCGACTGAGACTGAATTGACCGCTTCGTGTGCTGACGGCGAAATTGCTGAAACGGATCAGAACGAGCCTGTGGCAGAACCACCAACATTTTTGCAAGGTGATGTGTCATCCATTCCTTTGATGCTGACTACGGAACGATCCTTCGTGATGGACAAGGACGATATGATTGAGACGGAAGACACTGTCGTCGTTCGAGAAAGACCCATGACAGACGGTGAGGATGAATCTGAGCTTGTGTCCTCGGCGACCTTACTTCCAACGCATAAGTCACATGCTGGTATCACGTCGTCTCAGTCAAAGAAGCAAGAGCGAGTGAAAGAAGCAGCAGTTGTGTTCAAATCAAAAAAGCGGGTGCCAGGCCCTGCGCCAGTTGTGTCTACGATGGTCACGAAGGCGGAGGCGCCGCTGAAGAGAAAAAGCACAACACCAAAGGTCGAGCCAACAGCTAGCAACGCGAGACAAAATCAATTATTATCAAAGCAATTGGACACGAAGAGTGCAACCGGATATGTGAGACGTTCACCAGGGGCTTCTGTTGCAGCGGCAACTGTCTCACTGCAAGTTCGAAATATAGGAAAGGTCTCGACGGCAGAGTCTGCACATTCGGTCCTGACAGCTCCCATTGCACCGAAATGTGCGTCAATAATGGCTCCCTCTGTATCCTCAAAGGCAAAAAAAGCAGCAGAAGCGACGAAAGAAGTCTTCGCTCCATCTCCCGCTCGGTCGAAACGATACGCAAGCATTAAAAGCAAAGTCTTGGATGGCATCAATAACATCGTGTCTCACAAAAAGATTACAAAAGAAGACTTTATCGCTGCTGAACGTCGAAAGAGTTTGGGTTCTGCAAATGCGCGTTCAGGCTTCGACACGGATGATCGACGAGCGTCGTTGACTGCTCGAGCTTCGATAAGTGGACCACCGGAGCAGTTCATTCGATCGGCATTTTCACGCAAGAAACTGAACGCGACCGCTCCTCGGTACATGAACTACGAGAATGCTCGAGGCTACGCCGAGCGTGCACGTGTGCAGTACGAGCGTCGTAAGCGTCTTGAAGCAGCGAATGCTGTCAAGTCTGAGAAGCGACAACGCGAGTTGCATATGTTCTTTGCGGAACTGCATCACAAATCGTCAAAGGCGAATGCTGATGAAGTGCGTCGTGGCTTGGAAGCGCACGAGTTTATTCAACTGGCAAAAGAAAATGAACGGCAAGCTTTAGAAATGCTGAGGAAAGACAAGCAGCGTTCCGCACAGGGAAAGCATCATACATCACCTGCAGCGTCGAACGCTGGATCCTCTTTTAGATCTAAAAAGTCGTCTATCTCGTCGTCTGCGTCTGTTGAAGGAAAGGTCATGGTAGTAGAAGTGATGAATGCAGTGAAGCAAGATAATATCAAGAAGAAAGCTGAAGTCGAGACAGAGACGATTTCATTCTCATTTGAAGATGGCAACTCGGTACTTGAGAAAGTGTTGCAGAGCGATAAAGAGGAAGTTGCGATACGCGAGTAATAAAGATACGAATTATAGGAGTGAATAATGTTCAAACTTTAGTTGATTGATGACTGTTACATCTATTGATATCAAAAACGCCCAAGATTTTATTGCTCATTCTCCATTATGTGCACCTGGCTTAGCACGATCGGTGATGCTCTAAATTATGCTTTTAAGCAGCAGTCTTGGATCCAATGGCCATTCCAGAAAAAACACCCAAAACTTGACTTGCCGGCCCCACGTCACAAGGCGATTGGCCACACAAGAAGTGCTGATATTGATGGTCCGGACGACGTTCCGCATATTTTCACCACAGCAAATCGCTCACTCAATGTCGAGTGGAATCTGTGCGACATGATGGATCCTGCACGTCGCGTGGATGTTGTGAGTGACCATAAGCTGCTTCGTAAGCGATTGAAAGGACTCTTTGTGGATAAAAATACGCAGCTCCATGCTGATTGCGACACGCGAACTTTGGCACAAAATGAACTCGAGATCATGTGCTATTTTGCCAACTATTGTGAAATGTTCAAGCAGCCAATCCACCAAAATGTCGTTCATTTGCTCGGTTATTACTGTGAAAACGATAGACTTCACCAGATTATCGAGTTTTGCGAGCTTGGAAGTCTCATGAACGCGTACATTCAAAGTCCACAAGAAAGTTTATGGCTCACAAATTCACCAACAGAGGGAGATGTTTGTGATGCTATGTTTCAAATTTGCTCTGGGCTACAATTTTTACATCAACACGGTGTTGTGCATGGCAATCTTGGACTTGAAAATGTTTTTGTCACTAGTGAAAACATCTTGAAGATTGGAGATTTTGAGTATTCAGTTTTTGTTGGATCGGATAATCCACATCAGCCAGTCTCAAACCTGCCTTCGCCACCTCTCCGGACATACATCGCTCCAGAGATTGATGCGTCGAAGCCTGGAGATTTACTGGATCTTCAAAAAGCGGACGTTTGGTCTCTCGGGATCATGTTTATAATGCTACTTACGAAAAAGCCACTATTTGACGTCGCTCGGCCGACAGATAGTGGCTTTCAAATGTTTTGTCGCATGGGGTTACGCTCTTACTTAAAAGTCATGTATCTCGAGCAATCAGCGATCTGTAAACTTTCGGATGAACTTTTTGAATTCGCTGAAGGGCTACTTCAACCGAATCCAAGCATGCGTTTCACTGTGCTGGAGGCTTTGCAGACTAAGTGGTTAAAACAGGAAAAATACTCGGTGAAAACTTCGGCACCAAGTGATTCTTCTGCTGCTGCTTCATTCCAGGCAAGCGTTGTGGCTGCTCGCTTAATTCGAAGAGAGAGTTGCAGACTTAATCGGAATTAGCAACTTAGCGAAGCGAGTATTTTACTGAATTTCTAATACGCTGGACTTGCAATCTTTATGTCGTCTGATGCCAGTCTCATATTTTTTTTATCGATTGTTCATTTAGATGCGATTTTTATTTGGTACTTACATCACGAGAGATGGAGGGTGGATTAATCAGTATCAAACTCACCGGCATTCGCAAGCGTTCCAAGCTGGATATTATACGTGAACACACGTTAGGTCCAGCTGTTGACAACCACTCCTCTCGCCATCCTTTTCATTTGAAGAAGTTCTTTTTCGATAAAAGATTAAAAGTTGTTAGGTTTAACAGTTGCCGCACTCGGTTTCCTAACTGAAAAGAAGTCATGAAGCCAGCATATAATTGGGTGTGAAAGCATGAATTTGAGTCGTACGATGGATATTCTTACGCATTCGAGCACTACCAAATTATATCTCAGAAAAACTTTGTGGCTGAATTACCTTTGATCGATCTTTTCTTTGTGAAAGACCCAAAAACTAAGGATTGACTTCTTCTGGAGGAAATATTCACATAGACTTTTCGCAGCTTATGAGTAAACAATTTTGCTCAAAATTTATTAATTTGTCACATTCATACGAGTTAAAAACCGTAAGTCTTACAAAATTATCTCCTTGCTTCGTTTCGTCACACGCTTTGGATCAGTCAGAGCGCGTTTACCGATACGTACGACTGAGCTGTGTTTGGTATGTGCAACTTTATCTTTCCGGGTATTTATGAAGGTACTTTGCCTAATATTGTCAAGCAGTTGCTTTGATCAGTCTGAGCTCTCTTGACACCAGCTGCGACTTGACTCATTCTGTTTTTGCATGATGACTTCTCGACAAATTTTGAAATTAGCAGCAGCCAAGCGTTTGAGCGTATTGTCACTTTGAGTAAGCCTATCAACGCACAATGGGTTTTAGCGTTGGAGAATGTCCAGTACAACCGCTTTTAAACACTCCTTAAAAGCGGGGCAGATACTTATTCAGAAAACTTTGAGCTCAATTTGAGCAACACTTTCCTCCTTGTTGTTTTCTTTGCATCTAACGAGTGCCCAACTTACTTTAACCAGTGTGATAGAGCGAATGTAATATCGTTAAAGTCATATATTTTCCAAACGCTACGATATTTTGCCAGAGCTGTGTCTGAACACGACAGAATAAGTATGGTAGCGGACATCTTAACTCTACAATATTTGTATGGGACCGCGCAGATTTCC